TTATTATTATAGTAGTACTGTGAGTGGAGCATTGTTCAGTGACTATAGATAGAGAGAAGCATCTGCAAATTATTTTATCTTGAAAAATAAATAAATATATTTTACAATTATTATTTTTTAGAATATTCGATATTGTACGATATTCAATAATTACATTGCTATTGACAAAAATAAATAACATTTACAATTAATTGTCAACAAATCATTTTTAAAATAAATTTCTTTTATCTGCAATTTGGAAAGAAAAAAAACAATGACACAGATAATATTGGATCCAAGAATCGGTCAACCTCTAGTGAGGTACGTCTTTGTGGGTTGAGTTTGTATTTGATATTTTCCTTCAGGAATGTCTGCTGCTACGTTCACCTGGTAGAACTGTTTGATTTTTCTCTTTAGACGTAAAGTTGTGGATTAAATTGGGCAGTTATTGTTGTTGTCAGCTTGTAACATGAACTTGTTCTGGTTTGAGTTCTGGATCTAAATTGTCCCTGGGATGAACCTCGTTGTGCTTTGTGGTGGTGAAGACTGATATTGTTTGGTTGCTTCCTGCCTCTGACCGTAGTCGTCTCCTCACCTTGATTCCTTCAATTCATTCGTTGTTCTTGTGCATTTTCTTTTGCTTATCGTTTTCTTCATTTCTCCGTGTGTCATCTCCATCTGGTTGTCTTTCTACCTGCCTCCTTCCCTCCTTTCTCTTCTCTCACCTCGGTGTTTTGTATGATGTGTGTGTGTGTTTGTGTGTTGTGTGTTTGTGTGTCCACGTCCAGCTCCCCTCAGTGTGCCACCAGCTATAAAGCTCCACAGCCCCAAAACCCCAACCACTGTTACGGGATACTCCAGTAAGTCGTTGTGCTGGGCTCCGATTGGCTTCACTGTCACAGTGTCCTCGTCCCTCCTCCCCATTCACAGTCTGCTGCATTGAATCAGTAACAGCTTTGCATCTGTAGCCGTAGAAGGTTCTGAGAGCTGGCCTTTGGGGTTTTGGGGTTTTGCTTGTTCCTGCGTCCACACTAATCTGTCCATCACCCCGAGTGAGTGTTGCTCTTCCTCCATCCACTTTACTGACCGTTTGGTTTCTGGCTCTGATGGTGTCGTCAGACTGACACACGATACCTTTTTGTTTTTTGTTGTTTACAGTAGGGCTGACCCGAATTTCTACAAATTTGATAGTAGTTGGCGTCAAAATCGGTATTTTAATCTTTACATTTTTTCAGTTGCCAATTTATAATATGGCTTGATGGTATAGCAGAACATTTTTAATTAGCTGTTGTTACTAAAGTACAGCAGACAAAAGTTTATTGCACAATATACCCTCTAAACCCCAAAACACGCCAGTGGGTTTGAAAAGCATGTTGTCTTGGAAAGCAATAATCTAAATAACAATATATGTCAGAGTTAGTAACTGTAAAGGCAGAAAGAACTGTTGGATTTCAAGTTTGTGTTGGAATAATTCACCTAAAATCGTGATATTTCATCAAAATCACTTTATTCTGTGTGCGGAATTTTAAAAGATCACCAATAACTAACTATTTGCACTAACTAGATCCAGTAAAAAAAACAAAATTAAAAAAAAATCTTAACTTCTCGTCACAAATGTGAAGTCATTATAAACTTGGTTGAGACCAACAGTCACATGCCAAAAATTCAAAGACATTTTGGCCCAACTGCAGGCTGTGGTGACAGAGCAGATAGGATTAAAAGTCTGTGCAGAGTCGCCATTTTTTCCATTTCTTTTTTGGTGACACCTGTCGGCACTTGGAAAAAATGTTGTACATGCTGATTCCAGGTATTTTCTCTTCTTGTAAAATAGATATTCAAAGAAATCTAAGTTTTCTTTTTAAGTGTTTATGACAGTATAACTTTCCAAAAGGCGTTTCTAGTCGACCTAATTCCAACCATGGTTGTTCTCTTTCTCTAAAAGTCCCGGCATTTTAAATTGCAGTGAAAACGGAGCCCATGGTGAGTAAAGAAGTGCCCTCTGAACCCTGAACTCTGTACTGCTTAGGCATTTGGAGGTGGCCGCTTTATTTATCAGTGCACCAGTTAATAATTTTAATGTTAACACAACAATGAAAAACATACAAATGCACAAACTTATTTACACATAAATACAAATTAAGATAATGGAAAGATCTCATATTGATAAAAATCGAAGGAAGAAGGCCAGTAAAATTCAATTCGATTTTATTTGTGTAGCGCATATTTACAACAACAAGTCACCTCATAGCGCTTAACAAAGGCAGAAACACCCAACAGTCCAAAACATTTGGATTCCCTATAAGCTTCAGCAGTCCGCAAGCAGTCCGCAACAGTGGGGAAAAAACACCTCCGACAGAACCAGGCTCAGGGAGGGACGGCCATCTGCAACACACAACACAGAGGTGCACGAGGACGGATCAAGCAGCTGTGCTGTGCTGAGGTTAAGGTTCAAAGTCGTTACCCGGACCAGGTGTCACTGGACCTCGTGTGGACCCAAAGTCCATGAGCACGAGAGTCCCAAGAATTGGTGCGCGTCGCTGGGACCACTAGAGCCACGGGGAGAACACACAACCAAGCTTAGTGTTTTCTTTTTGTACTTTCATGGTGGTTTAAATCAAATCAAATTAATGCATTTCAGTGAAACTAAACTTTTTTTTATTGCAAGTGACGACGTGTCTTTCGTGGCTACGTGCTGCCCTATTATGTATGAACAGCCACAAAATAAGGACAAAGTAGCCCAACATCATTCAGTACACATCAGAACTAATTAGTATTTTTTTCTAGGGCATTTAATCTGAGCTCATCACAGCTCTCATTTAACTTTACCGGCACAGACACTGGGACAGGAGCATGTATGTGGTTCCTAGTTTCACCTACATGAGCAGGATTTTGTAAGAGTCGAAATATGCAATGACGACCCTCAAAAAGTCAAGCGCGAGACACCACAATAACGCCACTGTAGGTGCGTTGAAGCTTCTAGTATTCACTGATAATTCCCCCTGAAGCTTTAAAACCACCAACACGGTATTCGGGACAGCCCTAGTTTCTAGATACCAGTGGTCAGACAGTGTTTAAAGCCCCCACCCAACCATCATTTGTGCCTTTAAACCACAGCTCTCATCCATTTCTAACACATTCCTAACACTGGAATGACTGAACAGGTTGCTCAGTGACATCCACAGGGTGTCTCTGTTCAGCACATGTGCTCCTTTTCGTTTATTTCAGATCATAATCGATCATCACCGTCACCTGTACGAAGCTGATTTTTAAAAAAAACCAAAAAAAAGCGTGGCCATGTTTAGATTTGTATTTTTTTTGCATCTGCATTTGGAAACCTGACTTTCCTTTGTAGCATGGCTCTACCGGCTGTACCTTTGCTCACCTGCTGTGTGGCGTCTGAGCAGCATCAGGCCTGAGATGAGATATTTGTTTGATTTTAAATCTGCCAAGACAGATCAGTAAAAAATCATGAATTTGTAACCTGAGCATATCGGGCTGCACACTTTATGATGACTGATATTGTACCGCTGTAAATAAAGCAAAGTTAGCAGCACTCTGACCTGCAGCAGGTATGTTGTTTGTATCGTATATTGGCTTCTTATGATTATTTGTTTAACTCGTGGTGGACGTGGAGGATATTTAGGAGGACGAGTCTGGAAATCACCTTGCAGCCCTGAGTTCTTGGGAAACAAGTTTAGTGGTTTTAAAAACAGGAATTGGGACGTTTCTCTTGACGGGATGTTTACGTTTGGCACTTTTATTTCTGTCTCTCACCTGATAACGTGAAAGATAATTGCTTGAAATCTTTCACACACAAAAAGAAAAAACAAAACAAGCAGTTGAAACCAGTCGACCAGCTTTGTTCAGCTCAACAGAGGCAGCATGTGTTCGTTATGTGAGCTGGGTTTGGAGTCTTAGATCAGTGTGGGATTTGTCTGCTGATGTGACAAGTTTAACTTCCTTATTCTCACTTTTTAACAAGCGTAACCGAAAGAGACCCACGTTCCCAGCCTGTCTGCTCATTCACCGCTCATTCAGAAACATCACTTCCTGGGACGTTGAACAATGCATGCCTGTCAACAACTGGGCTGATTTTGATCAACTTATCAGCCAGCTGAGCAGCCTGTAGACTGTAAACATGCACCATATCAAAGAAAAACTAGCTGCTAGAGATGGAGCAGCTGTATTTTGCCGCCTTTGTTGGGTATTTTTCTGACCAGACAGTCATAATGAGACTAGAAACGTGTCGAGATTAACTTCTTCATCTGCACACATTTCCACACGTTATATCATCCTGCTGTCTGTCTCTCTCCATCAGTGCTGGCATGTGGCAGACCCCAGGCCACGGCTGTGTATAAAGTTTCGGAGTACGCCAGGCGTTTCGGTGTGCCGGTCATCGCTGACGGCGGCATCCAGACCGTCGGACACATCGCCAAAGCCCTGGCCCTGGGAGCATCCACAGGTACGCACGGAGGTTCAGCTTATAATGTAAAATAAAAACATGTCTGGATTTATGTCGCTCAAATGCATTTTTTTTCAACAGTTATTTTCAACAAACATAAAAGAAAAAAAACTCCAAAAAACAGTGAACTTCTCTCCCAAACAAACGAATCTTAATTCATGTTCGTTATCCTAAGTCGGTCTTCGATGTTTATACTCTACAAAGTCTGCATGGTTTACAGCAAGCAGGTCTTCTACATAGTTCATTAATAGTCCCCAAACTACTTCCTCATATGTTTATCTTTCCATATAAAAGTTATTTTTGTAGTAGAAGGTTTGACATCATTTGTTTGATCCACTGTGGAATATGTTGATTTTTTTCTCCCCCTAAGAACAGAGTCATCATCTTTTTGGCATTTAGAGCTTAAATACAGTTTTACTTTTTTGCTGTCGTCATCTGCAGCGTTACAGAAAGGATTATAATTGAAATGGTAGATTTTCAGATTTGGATTATGCTTTTTATGTCCTTTGTGTGAAACCAGATTACATCCCAAAAAAAGAAAAGGATAAAATATTTTTAACTTTCATTTAACCCTCTGAACCCCGGGCACTTTCTGGGTTGTTTTGCTCACTGTGGGTTCATTTTTTCACTGCAACATTAAGTCCTGCTCCTCTATAGAAACAGTACAACCATGACTACAAGTAGAAAGCACTTCAAAATCCTGAAATCAACGCGGATGTGCCATAAAGTTGAATTTCTTTACAAAAAATGAAAAAACTAAATACAAAACTGGAAGCAATGGTAGCTGTAAGCACAATGGACGCTTTTCATTCCTTTCTATATTTTGTTTTCATACGTGTCTCCTCTCCACTCTGTAAACATCCTGCTTTTCATCCAAAAGGTCCCTCAGTCTTTGTCATGTAGCTGTTAGTTGCAGCTGAGTCATGAATGACTTCTAAGTTGTGCTGAGGAGCGCAGAAATGTAGGTTATTAACAAATCTGATAACTGCATGGGTTCAATTTTGGCAAGTTTTTGAATGAGGCCTGTACAATGAAGCTTTATGTTAGTTCATACGGGCGGCTGTGGCTCAGGTGGTAGAGCGGGTTGTTGTCTGATCAGGAGGTTGGTGGTTCGATCCCCCGCCCGTCCACAAGTTGCTCCCAATGGCAGGCAGCACCTTGCATGGTAGCTCTGTCACCATAAGTGTATGAGTGTATGAATTTATGAATACGGGTGAATGAGAAACACATTGTAAAGCGCTTTGGATGAAATACAGACACAGAGTCAGGGCGTCACTTTCTGTCCAATCATTCACTGCTTCAGTCCAGCCCACTCACTGAGCTGCTTTATAACTGTGGCGACGTTCATTCATTCATTCTGCTGCTCCACGCTCATCACATCGCTGCTACACCAACCTCTACAGATCGACAAATCTCCTCCTCCTAAAAGTCAGATTTAATAACTTTCTCATCAAGTTTGTCATCTTGCTGTACATACACAGTAGTACAGCCGAGATGAGAGAGCATTTCTTCAGGATCCAATAGCTTAGAGCAATTTAAATAGAGAAGTGTTTGAATATCTGGATCAGCAGTTCAGCACTGATGCAATATGATGCATGTCATTCCAAATAAATGAGTAAATGTGACAAAGGTTCCTGTCTGAAGTGCAGTGATTGTGATGGAATGACAGTTCAAGGACTGTCAGAAGATTGAAAATTTACTCTTTCTGGCTCTGATAAATAGATTTTTTTAAAAAGCTAACATGCCGTTTAAACCTCCTGTTGGATTAAACCTTCCACTGGATGTCACATAGATCCATCATTCTAACTTCTCTCCTCTATCTTGTGTGTTCAGTGATGATGGGCTCTCTGCTGGCTGCCACCAGTGAAGCTCCCGGTGAATACTTCTTCTCTGACGGCATCAGGCTGAAGAAATACCGCGGCATGGGCTCCCTGGACGCCATGGACAAAAACCTGGGCTCCCAGACCAGATACTTCAGGTGCAGAAACACGATCATACAAGGAAGTCACTGTTACTGCCCCAAAAAGCATAAAAGGAGGCTGTTCACGTAGTTAGACGTATTACGTTGTCAGTTTTCCCCAGCAGACGTTGCTTCTTCCTCATTTAATTTTCAGTGGTTTCCAGCGGCTGTCTTGTGGTGGCCGACAATGATGAGTCTGTTAGAAAAACACAGAACAGCAGCTGGGTTTTCTAAACTATTTGCAAGAAGATAAGAGTGTTCATACAGCAAACTGTCTGATTTATTCACCTTACAACTGAGCAGATATTGATCCACTGGGTGGCAGTAGACGGGCTGCTCAAGTGTCTCTGTGCCACCACTGGACTCACTCTTTCCTCCCTCCTCTCCCCTCACAGTGAGAGCGATAAGATCAAAGTGGCTCAGGGTGTTTCGGGAGCAGTGCAGGACAAAGGCTCCATCCACAAGTTCGTTCCCTACCTGCTCGCCGGCATTCAGCACTCCTGCCAGGACATCGGAGCCAAAAGCCTCACCCAGCTCAGGTACACAAACACACCATTATCTGTCAGCGCAACCCTGCAATTTACTGAGCAGGCTACAGGCTACGTAAACAAACAAAGATGGATGTGGCAATGAGTAGACACACACTAGTATAATAGACGAGGCTTTATCTGGCATTAGCAGCAGTTGTTAGACAAATCACAGGAGAGCATAAATATTATGGGTCTGAAGAGCTTCTTTTTTTTTTTTTTTTTTTTTAAGTTTGATGCACATGACAGGCTGAGAAGTCTGCCGCTATTGCTCTTTAATATTTAACCATCTGAGCCCTAAAACACGACTTGAAAAAAAAAACAAATGCCAAAATTACACCATTTTTATCACAGGGGGAAAAAAAGGTAAAAATAAAAAAACGGGTGTTAAATTTTCAAAGTACTGATGCATCCTTGAATTATTCGTTTGTGACTTGCCATCCATAGAATAAACTATCCAAATCGGAGCTTTAAAATCTTGACATTTCATCAAAAACTGTTCATTCTACAGGTCTATTTTAACCCTCCTGTTATCTTTGGGGTCAATGTGACCCCATTCAATGTTTCACATCTCTAAATAAGTCTTTGACATCATTTTTTCACTTTTATTTAAAAGGCTATTTCCAAGAAACTTGGATAAAACTGCATTATGATATTTTCTGGAGGTTTAAATTGCTGGGGCCAAGTTGAATCCAAGGATAAAAGATGTCAGTAAATTGAAGGTAATAGGAGGGTTAAAGCTCCCATATTGTTCAGCTCCTCAATGAAAGACTCACGTGTGACCAGATCGTGTTAAAATGCTGCTCAGATGGTTGATTTCACCAGGACTGTAAAACACCTGGTTTCAGCCGTTTTAGCTGCTTCAGTGTCTGGATCTTTACATGCAGTCCGCTGCATCTTTAACATTTTTGTCCCCTAATATCCTCAAAGGGTCGTAAATTATGAATCGACCACTACAAAAAAACAAACAATGCACCAAAATCAGTTCTATTACTAATCTGATGTATATGTAGGCCCGATGTTTGAAAAAAGTCCCCAGCCCTCCAACATTTATTATTTGGAAAAGAACTCATTTTATCAATTTTTCTTTTCATAAAAATAGTGACATCATGTAATCAAATGGGCATTTAAAGGGTTAAATGAATAAAAAAAATATATGAATGTTTGGTATTTTTGATTAGAGCAGAAGGTGATTAAAAGCTTTGAGCAAAAAAAAAGTAGAAAAAAATATTAATCTGTTTTGTTTTTACAGCAGTTTTTGGGCGAGGACATTTTTGTCCTCTAATATCCTCAAAGGGTAGTAAATTTGCCCCCGGTGTATTGTTAACCTAGAAAAAAATTTGAATTTTATGATTTTTCATGAGAAAAACCCTCCTACAAAAACTCGTTTCATTCGGAGTAACACAAAAAAAGTTCTGGCCAAAAGTTGAGCAAAAAAATCATCTGAAAGGACAAAAATGTCCTCGATATCCCCTGAGGGTTAAGATAGTCTGCTGCACTGTTTACTGCACTAATTATCATTTAATAACTTCATATTGTGTAATTTGTAGTTTCCTACATCCAAATCCGGTTCAGATTGTATATTTTTTTTAGCCTGTTATGTGTTTAAATTGTATATTTTATAGCTTATTGTGTTTATTTTAAATATTTTTTCGTATGTATGTGTTGTTTTTTGTAAAATGAGGGTTCGATTGAAACGCAGTTTTAGTTCTCTGTGAGTACACGTGTAGCAGAACTGACAATAAAGTGACTTTGACTTTCCTAAACCCGTTCAGGAAGAAAACTCTGCAAAAACAGCTCAATGTGAATGACAGAGCAGGACTTTCTAACTTCCTCCAACAGACGAACACACTGAACAGATTAGTGTGGAGTGTGTACGTGGGATTCAGCCTCAGTCTTACTACTTTGGTCTTTTCTTCTCCTTCCTCCTTTCAGAGCCATGATGTACTCCGGAGATCTGAAATTTGAAAAGAGAACAACGTCGGCCCAGATGGAGGGCGGAGTCCACAGCCTGCACAGGTACGTCCATACTGTTTATTCTCGCCCCCCCAGCAGCTTTTTAACTTTGCCTCGTTTCATAGTTCATTGTCCTAAAATTTCTCAGTTTCACGTCTTGCCACAAGCACACAAACCTTCGGTTAAACTTCCTCTTTAGTCGCCTCCATTCTGGCTGCTGCTGCGTCTGTCTTAACAGGAAACCTCAGAGCGTCATGGATGGTCGTGTGATCTTCTCCTCTCTTCTTTCTCCCACAGTTATGAGAAACGTCTCTTTTGAGCCTTCGGGAGGAGAATCCCCTCCAACAGACATATTATGCAAACACACACTACTCGCCAGACCTGCTTACAGTCAGACTCTACACACGCACAACTTACCCGTCATAAAAGATTAGCGTGTAAAGATCAACGCACCACACTTCAGCGGATCCATCAGTCTTCCTGCCATCTATGCATCGTCTGTGTTTAGTGTAGAGGTGTGTGTGAGTGTGTGTGTGTGTGTGTGACGGAGAGGAATCGAGCATTTGTCAATCAGTGCACGTGTGATTGAGTCAAATGTGGAATCTTCATGTCGTCTTCAAACGTCTCCGTTCAACTGCTGTGTTCATTTTAAAGCAAAAAAGTCGTCCAAGAATAAAGCTTCTGTGTTTTTCCACAAGCTGCTGTCTTTTGTTTTTATTTTTTATTAATCGTAGAACTTTTAAATGAATTTATGATGCTGTGAAAAATGTGTTTATGTAGTTCATAGAACAACATAGAGGTAATTTGTCAGCCGCGTGTTCTTACTTCTGGATTCTCAAATTACCTGGAAGGAGGACGAGACGACGTGCTGCAGCTTGTAGCGCCGACCGACTAACTGGGCCGACTGTGATTCATCCGATGTAGGAAAGCAGAAGAGAAGATTTTATTAAACTGGAAGTTTCGAAGGAGATGTGACTAATTTCCACGTAAAAGCAACCTTTGCTTTACGTACGGATAAAATACATGAGTCACGTAATACCAGCTCACCTCACCCTCCCAGTTCATTATGTAAACTGGAGAATGTCTCATTCTTTATTGTCTAAAAGGTGATTATTGTGTTTTATCATTGAGTTCATCGTGGGTGGCTGCTAATAATTTAAAGTTGCCGCATTATTTAATCATTTATGTAAATAGTTCGAATAATGTCAATAATTTTCTGGCCTTTTTAATGCTGAAATTTAACAAAAACACCTGGAATCTTCATAAAAGTTGAATTTGTGGCAGAACTGTTGGATTAGATTTCACAGGTGTCCGTAATAAAATGTCCAGACAAGGTCGTTACCGCACAAAGACAAAACTCTGAAACCGATGAAACAAAACCACTGAATGTACAGTCGTCCTCACATTTCTTCACACTCTTCCAATAAAGAAAAAGTAAAATTCACAGCAGTCACTCAAACAACTAGAAACTGAAAAAAGTAAGAATAACTAAAAATTTGCTAAATTCTAATTTAGTGAAATAAGTCGTTGCTTTTGAATTGTGGTTGAAAAGAATAATTAAAAAACAAAAAACTCTCCTGGAAAAATTAGAGCACGTTGTCAATGAGCAGTGAAATCAAAATATAAAAACAGTTGATTGCAGTGATTGGCTCAAAGGGTTGTTCAGCTAAATATTAGTTTACAGGAGTTTCATAAAATTTGAATTATTACTTTTGTCAGTTTCAACGTATGTTTAATGGGAGGATATGAATACGTTTGTAAAGAGTTTGAAAAATGTGCTATTTTAAAAATATATATTGACAAAGGAGTAATGGAGCAGCTCAGATTTTTTAAAAATACAACAAGTATGTTAATTTTTTTAAATAGATTTTTATATATTGATTCATATATTATTGTTCTCTGAAATGAATACCAACACTTTTCAATAAGTACTTTAAAATATACAAAATACCTTAAAAAGTGGGGTTTTAACTCCAAAAGCTAATTTGACAAGATCTCTTTTATGCCAATGAACTTCTAGATATGACAGTTCTATTCATTATTAGTACTAGTTTGATGTAAAAACATCCAGCAGCACCTGTTTAGTTGTGAATGATCGCTTGGATTTGTGGATGTTCAGAACAAGTTTCAGCCCAGTCTGGTGAACAATAAGCGACTGGTGAGGCTGAGAAGGAGTCACGAA